AAGGGCAAACTACCTCTCAAGAGAAGGGATGCAAGTTTACACAGGGCCTATCACCTGGTCAAGAGCTCGGATAATGTCTTGGCCTCCTTTTGAGGAATTTGCGATCGCAGATGAGTTCTTGACAACTGAACAAGAATGCTCATCATCACAAGCTACCTCGGAGGAATCAATAGCATCAAATCAACATGAACAACCCATCAATTCAATGTCAAGTTCAAATAATCCCCTTTATGGAGATCCTAAAGTTTTCTTCCAATAAGAGGATTTTTTGGATGAGTTAGGACATCAGTTTCGAAAAAAGCTAAACATTGATCAAGAATTTGACTCAAAGGATATGCCAGTTCTTGTTACTGGCACGTCAAGTGTAATGCCTCAAAAACCACCTTGGACGATATTATAATTTAAATTCATTCACATCATGAGAGCGACTAATAAAATTCATCAATAAAGAAATTACATTCATCAAATGTAATCTTACAACATCATTCCCAAAAGAATATGCCAAAACATGACGATCATATCCCTAAAAGAATATGATCAACTATGACAATTACATCCCAAAAGAATCGAATTTAACTCGCAGCGGAAAAACAAAAGATTAGTATTTACATAATCTCAAAAGAAATTTCCTTGTCTAGCTCCTAAGAGAGTATAACCCTAGACATCCACCTCGGGATCCATGAGCCCATCTAGTGGAGCTTCCCAATGTATCAGCTCCTCAACTCTGAGCTCCTCCTCTAGGTGAGCACTAAACTTTGTAACAACATTCCTCCCAAAATCAAACAAGATTTAAAAAACATAATAAATAGTTCGGTCTCATTTTTTAAATATCATATATCAATTTTTGAAAAAAAAAATGGGACATTTCAACGGATCTCAAGTTTACGCAATAGCAATAATTTAAATGAACAGTAAAAATAAATTTTCCAATAATAAACCATTTTCAACCATAAATCATTTCTCACAAGTTCTTATAGAGTCTCATACCTCTACAAGCTCTTGTAGGAAACCAATTCCACACAATTACAATAATCGTTCAATAGTGTCATCTCATATTCTCATGTATGTTGGTTGTTTTCCATGAATCTATATAACGAATCTACCTCGTTCACCCAATCATAATCACACAAACCACTTTAGGAAGGACATATACTATCTCCCACGGCATTGATGAATCCTTCCCAAAAAAGGTATACCAACCCTCAGCCTCGAACTTATGTGAACAATAGTGGTTGCTCTCACAAACAATAAACCGCTACAAGTGTTAGGAAATCATCTCACCCCCACTGAGATAGACTAACCTCTAACACTCTACGGCAGTGCTCGAATGTAATTCAAGTCCATCACAACAACCATACAAGAGATGTACTAACATCTATTTTCTCAAATCACAAGTCAATCCAAAAACCCCCAATTTCAATAGGTATTATTTTTCCAACATAACAATTCAATAAAATAAGCAAGAGATCAGCAAAAGATAAGCTTTTATTGTTCTAATCAAGCACTAGAGTTTTGAAATCAAGATCAAAGGAAGAATCAAGAGGAAAAATCCATCTCTTTTAAAAACTAGGGTTTTATGACAAGAAAAAAAATCTCATGGTTATATAAACATAGTTTTGTTTAAAACATGGTAATAATTGTAAAAATCTCAAAGAATCATGATTTCATAGCAAATAAATATGATTAAGAGTGGAAACATACATATACATACATGTCCTAGCCTCAATGAACAAGAATGGAAGGAACCCCTACCTTGGTGTTCTTGAAAAACTAGAATTTTGATCTTCTTGAAGTGGAAATCCCTTTGATCTTGTGTTTTTCACTTCCTTTCTTCCTCTCTAAAGTTTTCTAGGGTTAGAGATGTTGAAATGGGGCTAAAGGAGTTGTCCTTAAGTATATATAGTGGAAGGAAGACCAGCTGTTTCGCGACTTAAAATTTCAGATTTTTCATTAACCTTCTAGAAGGTTTGCCTATTAGACAAACCTTTTTCATTAACCATCCGGAAGGTTTCTCATCGACCTTCTAGAAGGTTTGTCTACTGGACAAATATTTTCATTAACCTTTCGGAAGGTTTCTCATCGACCTTCTGGAAGGTTTGTCTACTGGACAAACATTTTCATTTACCTTCCGGAAGGTTTCTCATCTACCTTCCGGAAGGTTTCTCATCGACCTTCCGGAACGTTTTGCCTACTGGATAAATCTTTACCTTAACCTTCCGGAATGTTTTCATCAACCTTCCAAAAGGTTTTACCTGTTTTTCTACAAATCCTCCCTTCTTCATTTTCAATCCATTCCAAGCCCTTCCAATTTCAACCCAAACTTCTATAACATACTTTTGTACATTAAACCTAGTTGGTACAATTTCTATTGCAACAATTTCATATATTTACAATTTAAAACTAAGTTTTAACTACTATTTACTCAAATTTTACCATATTCATTTCAAAGGAAATAATTACTTGCTATATATACCTATATACATAGATAAAGATAAAAGTGTGGGGTTTACATCAAGCATTGAGGAGCAATTAAGTGAGATGCAAAGAAAATTGTAGAGAAAGATGTTGAGATAGCTACCCTTGCAACCCAAGTGGCTAGCCAAGCTAGCGCCTCAGCATGAGAACATGTTCAAACCATTGAAGAGGCTCAAACTTCTATAACGCCAGTTACTAAAGCAGATTTAAAAACATTAATTGCTGACAGAAGTCAAGAATTCCAAGCATCCATGACTCCACCAGTGCTTGGGTATCATAGGTCATATCCTAGCTATTACAATACCATCCCATTTCCTCATGGTTATCAAAAACCAAATTTTGAAATATTTGATGGAATTAATGGGTCATAGCAAGAGCTTCTCACTCACTTTTATTCAGCATGTGGGGAGTCAGCCTTATCTGATGCCTTATGCCTTGTGCATATGTAGAAAAATATAAAAGGAAACAAAAAAAGAACTCTTCAAGACTTAGCCATTTTTAGCTAAGGCAAAACACAAGAAGCAAGCCATTTTTGACTAAGACAAGGAAGACCAAGAAAGGAAGGAAAAAAAATAGAAGAAAAGAAAGAGAGGAAAAGAGTTTGGGTGTTGGTCTTGTGGTGGTGCAAGAGGTAGGCTATAAGGAATCATTTTCTTTATTTTTTTTTTTATTTCTTGGAAAAAAAAAGAAAAAAAAAAACATAGTATGAAATTATTATTTGAGATTTAGGAATTTAAGCATGCATGTTGGGTGTTGTTAAAGATTTGGGAATTATGTTGATAAAATAGAATGGAAATTAGTTAAGCATGTATGTTGGGAATAACTTGAGATTTGAGAATTTTGTTTATGTATATAGTAGGGTGTTGCAAGTAGATATTAAAATGATGTTTGATTATGTGTGTATAATACCATGGTTTTTGGTAAAGAAATTGATATAAGTTGTAGGTGGTTATATAGCATAAAATTTTGTTAAAAAGAAATTCAAGTAAGATTGTTGTATAGAAATGGAATTTAAACTAAGGGTGATAATGGTTTAGTGGGTAATCTAGCAATGGTGTAGAAATATTTCTTGAAAGGTATGAATTCATGGGTGTAAAAAATTACAAAGAAATATGTAGACTTTATAATGTTATAGGGAATTATGTAGATTCGAGTATATTTTGTGAGAAATGGTAATGTTGTGGGAAATAGATAGTTTGGATGTTTTGAGTTCGTACAATTAGTATGATAATGAATTCGAAAATGTTAGCTTAATTTAATTTAAAAGAATTTTACTCGATTTACTGGGTAATCATTTTTTTGAACAATTTTTTTTAATTAATGGCAACGAGGGGAGGACATAAACCTAGCCCCTTTACATAAAATAATGAAATTTATTAAGAAGCAAAAAAGAAATAAAATTAAAATTAAAAATAAAAACGAAGCAATGATATGAGAGTTGTAATTTTAAAATTGTTTCCCATAACCAAGATAGAGTTCCTCGAACTGATACCTTCTATCCACCATTCCATCTTAAGTTTTAATCCCTTAAAGCCCTCCCGTAATTCCTTTCCTTTAGTTGATTTATGAGTCCAGCTATAGAAGTATTAAACCGAAGGAATCCTCAACAGACTTCGAGTATAAAAAAGCCAACGTATCCAAAACTGAATCAGCTCCTTAAATCTTGAAAACTTAATCTGCTGAGCAAGGAAAGAATCTTCCTCAAAAGAACCCAATATTTCTACCTAGAATCATGTTTGATCAGTTCCATTAGTGCCTGAATCCTATATGTTAGTCTGCTTTGGAATTTTGAACACTAGCATGGATTTGGATTTGGACCTTGTCATCATCCCCTAACTAGAACATTATACAATTCCAATGCCAAAGTATCTAGACTCTCCTCTTTTTGTTTTCTTTTCTCCTCCGTAATATTGAGTCTTCTCAGCAATCTTTTGGATGTAGCCATAAAATATTCATAATCAAATGTAGGCGTTAAAACATCCTCCACTCCATCAGAATAAAAACCTCTTGTGTTTTCATGAACAGCCGGTTTTTGACATAGTCATCTTTTGAAAAAATGCCCTTTGATTTCAATGCCTGATGAATCTCATCCCTAGACATTTTTGGATTAAATTCCGCTTGACTGTGGACTCACTGATGACTGCCTCCATCATTTGCTTAGTAACAAACTTTGGCTTGTGTAAAGAATAATCAATGGAAACTTATTTCAAAGAATCTTCAATACCATAATCAGGATCATCATTTGAACTGGAAAAAATCTCACCAACCTCACCATCCTCATTGTTCAGATTAAGCAAATTGAAAGTGGCTTTTCTCATAGACTTGTTAGATGTAATCATTCCAGAATCATGAAACAAGGAATCCCCAAAATGCTTAATTGGAATAGTCATAACCTCTACTATAGGATCAACATCTTCAGAGTTTATTAAAATTTGAGTTGCCTCCTCCCTTACTTTGCCCAACTGATGGGCTGGTAAGTCTTGAGATAATAGCTGCACATTGTTAACTGAAAGTGACGGCTTAACCAACATTACTCCATCCTCATTTCCACTAGACTTTCTCAGTGATTTCTTAAGGAGCATCCACTTCTGCTTCTCCTTCCTAGCCATACTCTTCTTATAAATCTTATGCACTTTTAATTTTCTAGTCTTTTGTACCCTTATCTTTCTAGGACCCCTCTTATGCTTCCTGTCTTGGGTCTGTATCAACTCTACGCTCTTCATGTTGCATGTTGATTTCTCAGTACCAATTGATTCCAGATTGATATCATTCTTAAGAATAACATGATTATGAGTTTCTCCATTGCCATCCACACCATGTTTTTGATCCAAAACAACTTCATTAACCTTTTGCCCAGCCTCTTCTTCTTCTGGTATATTCTCCAAAACAATTTGCTCCTTCCCTTTCTCCTGTTCCATCCCTTTTCCTTTCACTCTATCCTTTGTCTTCCTCTTCTTCCTACATTCACTTTCCAAATGGCCTTGCTTAGAACACCCAATATTTTTTCTCTTTCTCATAAACTATCCTTTGTCATTGATCCTTCAATCCACCCATATTAAGCTTGACGCGATCTGGGTTTTCCTTTAATAGATTCAACAATACACACACTCTTGCTACACTTGGTCTTGAAAAATTCAGTGTTGGACCATCAATTGCCAACACCTTCCCAATGGGACTCAATAGTATTTCCAAACACCGTCTAGGAAACAAATGCAATGGCAATGAAGGAAGAGATACCCACATAGGCATAATAGTTGGTTCAATTTTAGACTCAAATTCTAGAAACCATTTGAAAAAATGAATAGATGACCATTAATGTAAGCTTTGTCCTTTAGTAAAACCTTTATAAGATCTTCATAAAGACTAAACTTTAACAGTACATGTCAAGTATCCAAGCTTCCTAGAGAAAACTCACCTTTAAGAAACCATTTAGATTTTATAAAATCTCTAATATAGCTTAAAGAAGGGCATCCATATGAACACTTACCAATGACAGCAAGTTCTAGTGGCTTGAAAGCCTCCGTCATCTCTTCTCTTGTCCAAACCACTGTCGTTTCCCCATTGTGAGAGATCACCCTTTTAGTTGGCTTTGCTAAAATAGTCTTAGAAGACTGTGTATCTGGAATGCCACAACCATGAATTTGCTTTTGGAAGAAAGACATATAAGAAGGGATAGGCACCTCAGAGATCAAGATCTTAGTAGCTTCCAATGACGATAAAGCAGTGACATGATTATTAGATGTAGGGATACGTAGATGTGATGAAGAAGCAATAGGAATGGACGGATCTGGTGGCTTTGGGGGAATAGGGTTATGATGAAGTGTTGAAGGCGTAAGAAAAGAAAATTCTAGAGAGAAGGCAGAGCTTCTCTCTCTAGAAAAAAGCCATAAAGACTCAATAAATACTCATTTTTTTTTAACAATATTATCGACTCAAAAATCAATTCAAGTAGATAATATTATTTGATGTGATTGAATTATATGAATCGATGTGATGCAAATATTAAATTTTGTTTGAGTAAATTATCTCAAACTCAATTGATGTTATGTGTTTGAATGAAATTGTAGACATCGAGTGTGTCAGCTCCAGAGACAAACATCACAAGAAACGATGCACAAAAGGCACCAACGAAAGGGTCGTCCACACAGTAGAGCTTTGCACAAGGTAAATGAACTATCCTACAATCATTTTATATTCAAATAATTAAGTTGTTAGAATGATAATGTTACAAGTTTAGTTTGTGATTTTTAATACATAAAGGTGATGATTTAGTTAGATTGTGGAAGAATGTAGTGAGCTTTCGTGGTTTAATTAGTTAAAATCCGTCCCTATGATGAAAAGAATGGAATTAAGAGTATAGATTAGAACACGGGCTGTTTTGGGACTAACATTTGTTGCTATGTGACGGTTTGTCTGTGTGACAAGTGTCTACGTGATGGGATTCGATTATGTGATTGAGATGTCTGAGTGACGGACGTCTGTGTAACGAGGTTCGGATACGTAATGGAGTTGTCTAGGTGACAGACATTTACATAACGAAGATTATCTTTTTGTGTGATGTTTTTGTCTGAATGAAGAGACATAAAACTATCTGAATGATGAGACACTGAACCGTTTGAATGACAAGACATAAAACTGTCTAACTGACAAGACTTGTGTCTTTGTGACATAAGAACACTCGCACATTAAGATCATATAAGTGACAAAAATTAATTATCGAAAGGAACGATCTAAGTGACAAGAAATAGTTCGAGTATTTAAAATATCTAAGTTATAAATTAAGTTTTGCAGCCAAATAGTCTAGATGACGAAAACGAAAGTCGTTGACAGTCACAACTTGTTCGAAATATAGAAGTTAGTGACAGAGAATAAAATGTCTAGATGTTGGATTGCATCCTTAAACCAATTGAATTTTGTGGGTATGTTTCATGAGTGGCGAAACAAGATGTCTCACTGTGGGATCGTTGGGTTTTTGAGACAAATTTTCGTAAGAGAAATTACGAGGTTGTAGTTAGTGTATTTCTGAGGTTGGGTTAATACATTATAATATTTGTTGAATATTTTTTTTTTATGATACAACTGAGTACTTATTTGGAGTTTTCTTTAAACTTGTCTAGGTAATTTTGATTCACTAACCTGAAGTCCACTGCCGAAGTCAAAGATCGAGTCGGGAGGGGTCATGCATGAATCTGTGTGTGGTTAAATTTTTGGACTTTATACTTAACTTTTAAATGTTATGGATGTATCTTAACTACTAAAACTATATTTTGAGAAGTATTTACTTCATATGGTATCAGACTGGTGTGCTCACTTTTGGTGTAACCCTTATGTTTATATTTAGTAAGTATTGGACCGATGTACTTTTCATGTTTGAACTTTTGTATAAGAAGTTAATGGTGTCGTTTTACCATAGATGGCCTATAAATCTCAAAGACAAGTTTTCACAACAAGTATATGGTGCATTTATTTCATATTATTGGAATAAGACCAAATCGAGGTTTTACAGTTATTCCAAAGTGTTACAATAAACCAACAATTAGTGTAATTATTTATTATTTATTTTTTTAAGAATTTCAATCTAAGACACATGCATTCATCATAAAAGTTTTGAGGTTTCTTATTTTTTTTCTATTACAAAACATGAATTTTTCAATTTTTTTCTTTGGGTTTTACCAAGAGGAGAAACTGAACAAAATAAAAAATAAAAAATCATATTGTTAAGTGATTCCGATATAGGGGATGATGTTTAAGATGATTCCAGCGACATCTTTACTAAAAATCTCAAAACTCTGGCAATTTTGCTTCAATTTTTCTCCTCCAAAACCCTATGTTTCATTACAATGGAACGATTTTGTGTTTTTTTCTTCTTGAAAGAAAGGTAAATCCCGAATTTTTAATTATAGTGGCACAATGGATATTTATTTTCAAGCTTCGTGTTGTGAGACCCGATTATGCATTGCATGCATATTAGCATAATTTTGTGGGCTAAATTATAATTATGTAAAATTATTAAAAGGTTAATTAAATTAAATCTTTCATAAACATGATATGTGTGAGCATACATTGGGTATGTGGACCCTGTTAGTGATGTATCACTGAGATCTATTTATAGAATTTCATGTGTGAAAAAAATAGTGGGTCGATTTCAAAGTTACTTAAAAACTTGGGGGAGGCAAACATAATTACCCAAAAAGGGATGAGTCATCCTAATATGTGTCAAACTATGGGTTTATTATGGCTAAAGGGTTATGTGTGTGTATGTGTCGTATGTGTGTGTGTGTGTGTAGTGTAGTGTAAAGTGTAAAGGTGTGTGGGTGGGTGTAATACATAAACCTGTGTGTGTGTTCTAGGTTGTTGAAACCATGAGTGAGGGTGAACATGAAAAAGAGTAGAAAAATATATATGGGTGTGTGGCTCTTAACCATGAGCAAACAACCGAGAGAGAGGAGAGTAAAAACAAAGAAAATCAAACATAGGGTTGTGTGTGTGTCTACTTGAACTGAGTGCAAGGAGGAAGAGAGGGAAAGAAAAATTAAGGTATGTGGGATTAAGTTTAAGCATGTTGTGTGATTAATTTTAGTAGGTATGTATATGTGTGGGTTGTTTTGTTTTAAATTAGTGGTGGTTTTAATTTAATTTAATGGCCTATTTTAGTTAATTTTATGGGCTATTTTATTTTAAGCTCAAAATAGATTTTTTTTGATTTTAAATTAAGTGTATTAAACATAGGTTTGGGTCTATTAACCATGGATTTTAAATAAGTATACAATGAATGTGAGAAAAATAGGGGAAATAAACACTCGGGATATTTTGAGTAGGCTAAGTCGAAACCGAAATTTATGAGTGTGAAATAGAGAGTCTAAGGGTGCAATTAGGGGGCTTTTTTGCATGAATTATTGAGTGTGTGAGTTTAGATATGATTGTTTTAAAAAAAACGTACGATAGAAATTGAAAATGGATGTCGATAATGCCGAAACCCTAATTTCTAAATGTTATTATCACATATGTGAATTTTAATCCGAATGACCTGAAATTTTACATGCAGCATTTTAAATAATTCTTGATGTGATAATGTGACTTTCGAATGCAAACGAATATGATATCCAATGCGAAATATATGAAATGCTGGAAGTGCAATTTTTAAGATTTTGGGTCAAAATGTGTGGAAATGGGCCCCTAGTCAATGTGTTTGACCTACTTAATCTTAATTTTGATTAATGTGAGTGATTTTGGAAATTTGGAGCGAAAATGTGATCCCTATAACAAAAGTGCTGGTGTGTGAGTGGATAACCGAAGTTATTGGGGCACTTTGGGGTGTATCATTTTGTATGCATTAGTAAATGATTAACTATTAAAGGTGATAAACATATTGATATTGTAATTAAATATGTGTTAGGTGGAACGGGTGTGACAGTTAGTGTTGGAACAGATACAGTAACACCGAAAGGATCCACCGATAAGACCGAAGGGCCATAGATCTATACATTTGGGGTGGGTATATGACTTTATATGTTTTGAATATTTTATTATAAGATGGTAGTAAATGATAGAATTTAATAGCAATTCCCCAAGATTATGTGCTACATGCTTATGTGATTGAATGATGTTTTGTACTGTGTATTGTGTACTATGGAATGTGGCACACTGTTTGAGACAGGGGCATCAATGCCTGATCAGTGAGCGTGCAGTGGTGTGATAGCACTATGGTGTTCCCGGGAGGTTCGGGAGACATGGATCCATGTGGGATCGATTACCTGATGAGGGGTAGTATGGAGGTGATGTGGCTTGTGAATTCTTTGGAATTAGATTGATGTTGTTGTTTAATACATGTATCTACGTAATATCTACTTACTTCAATGTATTACTATCATTTTCATTTCATATACAGAATGTATACTCACTGTGAACGTGGTTTAAC